AATGCTTAAGAGAGACATGCCTGAATAGAATTTTGCAACTAAATATTATAGAGAGAATTTTACGATGTGTAGCATATAAAATTAAGTATTGTATACAATGAGACCATTTACTTTGGATATAAAGTGGTCACAATTCTTTACAACCATTTTATGTGAAATTTGATAGCTTGGATGAGTCCCAAAGTTCAAGAAAATTTCTTTGGAAGTCTGAGCTTGATCAATGGAATAATTGGAGGCACCCAATTTTGTATGGTAATTACATATGCATTTTATGTGCCCCCACTTCTTTATTTTTTTCTAAGTATGCCCCCATGTTTCAAACATGAGATTGCGTTTTAATTTTATTTATTTATTTATTTATAGATATTCATAGGGCAGTCTAATGTCAAAAAAATCAAATTGCTCTATTTATAGGAGCGGTCGAGTATTTAACAATCAACTACCCTATACTCATACTATGATGTGGTCCGATATTTGAAACATCCTACCTTCAAATATCGGACCACCCATGGATGCTCCGCACCCTCTACCCCAAAACCAAGAAATGGTGAAGGAAAAAAAAGTCATTGTTTTTTTAACCTCTAAGAAGCTTATATCTCTCTAAATAATTAAATAAAAAAAAGAAGAAAACCCATTCCAATCTTAAACAGTCTTCCTCTCTTACTCTCTTATAAAGCATTACAATTACACTACGAGCGATTCTTCTCTCTAAAACTGATTTCGAAAACCTATTCCAGCTTCCAAAAGAAGCAATTCTCTCTCTAAAACACAATCACTACTTATTACTACCCTGCAAGTAAACCCGCTCTCCTCGATGGAATCTCTCTCTTTCTAAAATCATAAAGGGGTTAGTATAAGTGTAGAGCAGTCCGATTTTTATTTTTATTTTTATTTTATTTTTAATTATATTTTTTACTTCAGAATGACATATAGATATTTAAAACTAATATTATTAAAATTAACATGAGCAAGAGCAAAGTTAGAAAAAATAAAAAATCCAAAGGAAGGACTTCTATGTAAGTATGCCATATTTAGGGACCAGTATGTAATTAGTATATTTTTATATGGTACAGACCTAATTTTTTATCGATATTAAGGTGTTAGTACATGAATAGTATAAAAAAAACAGTTTATATATCGTTGCAACCTTATACCATTGATATTAAGGTGTTAGTACATGAATAGTATAAAAAAAACAGTTTATATATCGTTGCAACCTTATACCATTGTAGTAAGGTGCGCCTTAAAATTCCTACACAAGATAGTTTTTGATGTTTGAGAACCCTCCAATTGATCATCTTGACCTTGAGATGTATGGAAATAAAGAAAAAAAAACAGAATTTTAAATCCAAAAAATAATGCATCTTAAAACTATATATCTTATAACAAGTTATTTGGACCTATAGTTTTCCGATTGTTGAGAACCCTCTTATTGATCATCTCAACCTCGAGATGTATGGAAATGAAGGAAAAAAAAGAAGAAAGAATTCCAAATCCAAAAAAGAGTACGTCTTATAACAAGTAATTTGAACCATCTATTTCCAATATTTTCGAGTGTTTATTGATATGATTGATCTATATCTTTTTTGGAATTCTGAATTTTATAACTATTGATGAAAATAGATTTTCAAGCCGACACCATAACAACATCTCAAAGTAAATTTTAGAGGCACACCTTATTTCTATAGTATAAGGAGGCAGCCTCCAATTGATAGTTTTCCGATGTTTGAGAACCCTCCAATTAATCATTTCAACCTCGATATGTATGGAAATAAAGAGAAAAAAAAAAAGGAATTCTAAATAAATAAAAAAAGTACATCTTATAACAAGTTATTCGGACCTCTATTTTTTTGAGGTTTGAGAACCCTTGAATTGAACATTTCGATCTTGAGATATATGGAAATAAAGAAAAATAAGAATTCTACATCTAAAAAAAAAAGAAAAATGATCCTATAGGACCCTCCCCCACCCATATGTGAAGGACCCCAAAGCAACACCATTAAATTTAGTACAGATCTCTAAAAAAGTCAAGTCCCACACCCATGTGATAACTTTTCTAAATATCCTTGCCAAATTTAATTGTGATCCTTTGGGATCCTACACACATGCGTGGGAGAGGGTCCTATAGGATCATTACTCATCTAAAAAGTAGTATATATTGTAACATGTTATTTGGACCATTTATTTTAAAGATTTTTATTGTGTTTATTAATATTATTGATATGTATCATTTTTTAAATTCCAAATTTTATAACTATAGATGAAAATAGAATTTCAATTCCGACAACCAAACGAGACATCTCAAAATAAATTTTAGAGGTACGCCTTATTTCTATAGTCTAAGGAGGCAACCTCGAATTGATACTTTTTCGATGATTGAGAATCCCATTTCATCTTCTCGACCTTGACATGCATGGATATAAAGTAAAAAAAGAATTCCAAATCCAAATCTATATTATTTTATAAATTCTGAATTTTATAATTATATAGGAAAATATATTTTCAAGCCGACACCAAAACAACATCAAACCTTATTTCTATAGTATGCATTTACGACACCAAAACGATATCTCAAAGTAAATTTTAGAGGTGCGCCTTGTAAAGAGGCAACCATATACAAACCTCACCCATGATATAAAGCAAAAAGGCATTCTGCTCCCTAGGGGTATACTCCCTAGGGGTATGCTATGCATTTATTCTTTGATATAGAACAGCATACTATGCATTTATTCCCTGATATAGATCCCCACCTAGGATAAGTCTTAGGAGGATATAACATCTTTAACAGACAGATTAATTTCAATAAAAAATTATTTCCTAATTGCACTATCTAAGCACTTGAAAAAAAAAAAAAATCTTAAAATTGAATGGAAACCGTTCAATTTTTAGAGAACGAGATTTAAGTGTTAGAAAACTCAAATTTCAAAAAAATAATAATAATAAATAAATAAATAAAAATGAGATTAATCGTCCAGTAATTCTAATGTGATTACCCAATTTTCAGATTGAAAACAAATCCTTCCAAATAAGTCATATAAGTGAGGGTATAAAGTAAAGTATGCTCCCAAAGGAGCACAGTATATATACTATGCTCTAGTATAAAAGTAGAAAACTAACGGAAACAAACGATTTAAGGTGAGACAATATTAAAAGGAAATTTAAAATTTAATTTAGATAAATAAAAAAATGAAAAATTGGATCCTGGCCGTCGATCCTGACAGTTGAGGAGGAAAAGAATTAGAGCCCTCTTTCTCTCTCTAATTGTTTCTCTCTCTAAGTCTTCCCATCGATCCTGACAGTTGAGAGAAGCAAACAGTCTTGTCATTACGGTTGAGGAGAAAGAAACAGCCTCTCTCTCATTTCCCCCTCTTTCTCTCTCATTTTAAGTCTTGTTTTCCCTTCTTCACCTCCTCCTCGTTCATTGCGTACCTCTGCCTCTTTCTCCCTCTAATTCTTGGTCTTTCTTATCTTCCCTTCTCTGATTCCATGGAACCCTCCATCTCTGATTTTTCAAATTCCTCTGGCTCTGAGGCCAAACCAGTTTCCATTGATGGAAACCAATCAACCCCAAGGTTAACGATCAGGCTCAAGGTGGGCAAGAAAACAGACTCTCAATGTCAAATCCGTTCCCCCGAATCAGTTACTTCTCAATTTGATCAGGTCGCTGGAGTTTTAGGCCATTATAGCTGCAAGCTCTGAAACCTGAAGTTCGGCTCAAAGCGACCTCTCGGAGCTCACGTTAAAGCCCATGCATCCAATTATGGTAAGTTTTTGCAGGTTCTTGAGCTACTTCTTTCAAGAATATTTTCCTTGTACGGGTACTTTTTTAATCAAGGTTTTATTATATGGGTTCTTTCCTAATGTTTTCCTTAATCAAGATTCTTTGCCTTGTCTGTGTACTTTTTTAATCAAGATTTTTTCTAATAATTTCCTTGAATACGTCTTTCTGAATCATTTTTTTTTGATATCGGTTCTTTTATAATCGAAGTATTGTGGTATGGGTTTTTCTCAAATCGAAGTTTGATGGTTTTGTGTTTTTGCAGGTTTCACTGACAGTGATAAGATAGGTTTGAAAGATGAGCACGAGAGGAGAAAGAAAGAGCACAACAATAGAGAAAACAACAAAGCATACCCAACAAGAACCAGTGTGTGCTCTGTGCACCAAGAAATTTCCCTCGATGAAGACTCCGTTTGGCCACATGAGGTGCCACCCAAAGAGAGATTGGAGAGGGATTCAGCCACCGGAAAAGCCTGTACTCGCCAGAAAGTATGAGAGGAACCTGCAGGTCCAATATTCCAGCAATGGCGCACAGATGAATTCTGTGGAAAGTTTGTCATACCATACCAATAGCACCATAACAGAGGAGAGCTCGAAAGAACATTGTCCTCTCTCTCCCCTCTCAAATTGGTTGGTCACTAGATCTGGAACAAGAAAGAACAAAACTGCCAGGTCCGAAAGTAAAGATTTGCAGAGACAGAGATTAAGGGAGTTTCAAAAAGCATCAAACAAACTGTGCATCACTTACCCATTCTTTCTCAATCTCAAGGAAATTTGGAGGAATACAAGAAACTGACAAAGAAAGCCTGGAATCGGATCCCAAAAAGAGTGAAATCCTCCATGAAAGCTTCTTAGTTTACCGTCGTGGCCAATGGAAGAAGAAGACGGAGGTGAAGAGGGAGGCGAGAGCTATTGAGACAACTACTAATTCTGGCACACCCCAAGAAGGTGAAATCATTTCAAACTGCCATGATTCAAAGAAGAGGAAGCTTTTCATTGGAGTCTCTGCCGCTAATAACTCTTGAGGAGGAGGAAGTATCATAAGAGGATGTTCAAGTTTCTGGAATTGGGTCTGAGATTTCAGTGGCCTGCTTGAAAGTATCTGTCAATAAAAGACCAAAAATCAGCAGAATTCCTGCCAATTTCTCACCAGAAAGGCAAGGGAGCCATATATGCACTAAGTGTAACCAATGGTTCAATTCAGGTCAGGCTTTAGGTGGCCATATGAGGAAACATTTTGACAGAAAGAAGCATCTAGCCAAGTTGAAAGCTCATCATTCTTCAAAGAGGTTGACAATGGGTTCTCAAGTTGAATTGGGAGGAGAGAGAAAGAATGGGAAAGGAGAGAGAAGGTATGAAGACAGAATGGGGGTTATGGATCTTAATGGGGTGATGCCTATTGAAGATGAGGATTTGAAATTTGGTATACGTATGTTGGAGGTGGTGCCTGCTTATGCTGGTTATGTGAGATCTAGACTTTTCATGATCTCTGAGGCATAATTCAGGAGTTTAGGAAGGTCCACAATTCAGTAGTTTGGAAGATTAGAGACCATTTTTTGGGCAACATTTCTGTGGTTTTGCATGCTGCATTTTTTTAGCACAGTTTAATGGTTTTCTACGGGGAAATGTTTTGTATAGAGTGATGAATTCATCAATTGTTTTAGGAAAAATCTCCATTGCTTTTGATAGTTATTTATGCTGACCAATTGTTGAATGTAATTAAGTTTATGGAGCTTTTGAAAGTTATTTAAGCTGACAAATTGTTAAAATGTAATTAAGTTTATGGAATTGGATCCACTTTGCCTCTGTTTTTTTTTTTTCTGGTATATTTAGTGTGTGAACTGTTTTAGCTTTTACATATGAATTATCAGTCATTTTGTAATGGGGAGCAGAGGAATAAACTCTCTTTGTGCAAGTCATTTGTTGTAAGTTCATGTACTCTTTTAAAATATGCATATTGCAGTAATGTTCAGTAGAGTTCAGAGGTTCAAACTCATACAATTCTCATAATGCATATCACACTTTTGATCGAACAAGAGCAGCATCAACGGTATTACACTGTGAGACCCCTAAGTTACAAACTTACAATCTGAATATTCACATTTCGAACAGGAAAATGGCAGGCAAAATCAAATGTGTTAGTTTCAGAGAGTTATAGGCAATGATTTATTGCCGTATCTAATGTTGACACAGATTCAATCCATATTTCACATTAGGAGATAGAAAGTGAACCAAAAAAAATGATGCAAGAGGAGCTTGTTAGAATGTTTGATTTCAGTTCTCCATGAAGAGACACAAGGGAACCAAGTGAATTAGTTAACCACCGAGTTCAGTCAATAGAACTCAAATATACAGGCTGTAACACAAAATTGAGCAATGCATTACCAAGGTACAGTCTGGCTAAACTACGACATTCACAATCAAGAGATCGAGAGAGAGAGAGAGAGGAGGAGGAGGTGGGGGGAGTAGAATGGAGAACAGCAGTACTCGTAGGACAACCCACAGGCAAGATGATTGAAAAGAGAAAGCTATGATTAACTCCAACTCATGATAAAATCAAACCAAAAAACTATCGAACTATATGAAGTAAACTGTTCTGAAGCATAGGAAAGTAAATGTGTTCTACTAAAGGCTAGCAAGAACAGAAGTTGTGCTTACCCTCTCCAAAGCAGAATTGGCAGCAGCAGATGCATGAATACCATTTCTTCTGACTTGTCCGACTTATTTGGGTAGAGTCATCGCCAACCTTTTTCACAGATGCTCTATGTCCTCCCTCAGTCAGTCTGCACATAATTGTCAAAGGAAACCTCATGAGAGAGAGAGAGGGCCCCAAATTAGTACTTGTCTTAGTCCGCAACTAAATTAAGAAACCAAAAAAATAAAAACAAAAAACAATCGACAAAGGACTTCGGTTTTAAGAGTGAAAATGACCAATAATTTACTTTAAGTCACCATGTAGAAAAGTAGAATGTGACTTCTAGGCCACTGGATTTGGATACACCTTCTTGTGCCTATTTACATAAACTCCAATGGCAGAGTAAGCCAATAAATAGGCATAAACTCCAATGGCAGAGTAAGCCAATCTGATCATTGATCTATATTAAATAACAATATAAATTGGTGTCTGTGTGCCACAGAAAGAGAGAGAGAGCGCATAGGAAATGCAAAAGAGCGGATGCTGGTTCCACTATCATTAGAATGGTGAGAGATACTAGAAGAATTAGGCACTGATGCTGGAGCAGGTTTCCATGAAGGACCAACAGGTTCATCAGGAGACGTAGTTTCAACCTCAAGCAAAATTCGAGCATCCTCCTTATCATCAGTGCTAACCTCAAGCAAAATTTGAGCATCCTCCTTATCATCAGTGCTAACCTCAATTACCAAATCATGCTCGTCTTCCACCTCTCTGGCATCAGACCCCACTACGAACGGTATAGGACGAGACCCCAAAGGAGGCCTATTTGAGAAATTAGTGAGCTCCCCTGACTTTCCAAACAGGAAAACATGGTCTCTCGAGAAGCTAGAATTTCCAACATGAAAACTAAACAAAGATTCATTCGAGGCCACACTCCATTCCATGGGTGTTTGAGACTTTGTTCTAGCAAAAACAGAAGAAGGGATTCTATATTGTTTGGCACTCGGGGTTTCATGTTTACTTATTGATGGGTTTGAATATTCAGATTTATACATCACTTGAATTGGTGGTGATTACTTAGACACACTCGAGAAACCTTGGGTATCAGAAGGCCTAGGGGGTAAGAGAGAAACGCCTGGTGCTTGAACTGAATCAGAGTGAACTGACCGCAAGAGCATGGGCCGTTCATAGCCATGCCCATCAGCCATGCAATCGGGCTCGGGAATAGCTGGTGAAGGCTCAAGAATCACTTTCTGTCCCATTTTTGGCTCCCCTCTGAAACCCAATTCGAGGTCATCAGAAGATGAATCAGAGGAAGAAGAATCAGAAGACTCAGCAAATCTATCTTCTTCATTGCTAGAAATTTTTCCTTGACTGAGAAGAACCCACTCATCGTCTTCCTCTATATTTTCGGCCTCTAGAAATGTTTTCGCGTGGTTTTTACTTCCATGGTTGTGCACTGCATCCATTCCCACTCACCGCCTTGTCTAAGTGAAGTTATTCATTATCATGGGTTTTCTTTGTCTTTCAGTTGCTGGTATGTGGGTTTCTCTTTTCGAGGTAGTTTCTCGAGCATTCCATGGCTGGCTGAAACGACTTAAAACAAGCAGATCACAGCCAACATGCATTGGACGAATAATCACCAGCCTGCAAAAAATGTAGATTCATTTAACTAACAAATGGTAGCGCTTTGATTTTTCATTCCATCAAAGATGGATTTCATAATTTTAATCATCAAATAACTAAAATTCAAAGAAGATAGACACCTTTGTATAATAATGACAGCAATGCCGAAACCAAGTGTAGCACTCTCAAGAATGCCAATTTATGTAGCAGATTCAGTCTTGTTTCAGTTGAAAGAAGCATGAAGCATGAAGAACAACTTGCATAAAATGTGTCAATGCCATAACATCAGCCATCAGTACACAGAAAGCAAGCAAATAAACGATCTGATAAACCTTCCAAATGGTGGAAGTGATATGAGTAAGACCAGAAAGTGTCTGAGAATAGCCCAGTATTGGTTTTAACATGAGTGACATTAACCAAAACTAGTCGACACCGTGACTTTGATAATTTCAACTGTAAAACAGGAGACATAGAATTCAGGTGAAGGTGCGCCTTGTTTTGATTGTTTAGAACCTCGGCCTCATACAAACCATGCCCAATGTTGAATAGTTATATTTAATCTTAAAATGCCATTTTTATCGATATCAAACAGAGTGTATATGATTTCTGTTATTTCTCTTTCTCTCTTTTTTTTGTTCTTTTTTTTTTTTCATGGCAAGGAGGTTACATCCCCAAAATAATGCACCTTGATAAGTTCAACAGATAAACTTTTGGCATTATGCAAATTCTGATTTTGGGTATTCTAAAGGCCTATTTAGCTGATAATTAATTTTATTTTATCTAACATTATTTTGTTTAAAATTCTTATACTGTACCCAATATTAGTAGGTTTGTATTATTTACCAACCAAAATACTATTTGGTCTCTGACCTACTATCTGGTATATTACAAAGAAGTCACGACCCTAACCTTGAAAACCCCATTCTTTTCCTTTCCAATGATACGTTCTTTCTAGTTCTTTTCTTTCTCAGTCTAATTCTATAGAGTAAATTAGAGCCCGGGCTAAATTAGCGCTTAACGATTTGCAACGCTACATCCTACGTTCAATTCCTACCGAGAGTAGAGGGGCCCCTCCCTACTAACTCACCCAACAAGAAAAAGTTTAGAATCTCTCTCACATTCTTTTTCCCCTGAATATAGCGCTGTCAATGGGTTGGGCTTGGGCCGGGGAAGGCCTGGCCCGATTCCCCTTAGGGCCGACTAGGCCCGGCCTTCGCTCTATCAGGTCCAGGACATGTTGGGCCGGGCTTGGCCAACAAGGTAAAATTTAAAGAAAACTAAACGAAAATAAATAAAATAGAGTAAGGAACTGGGCCTCACTGGGCCCAGGCCTGGCCCTAGTCTTTTAATGCTGGCCACCCGGCCCATTGCCACCACTAATCTCTCCAATTTGATTTGAAACTATTGATATATGCTCCATTTCTATCTACTATTGATATTTGCCCCCTTTCTATCTCTATATCTCTCTTGTATCTTCATTTATTCTTTCCCTATTGCATACATCCCTTCAGTTTGGTTTGAAATTAAATGATACGAGAGATTAGATGTCTTCGTTGTCCACATTGAAATATATGGAAAGGTGGATAAGACAATAAAATGGGGTAATCATTGCGATCAAGGTTTTAGAAAACGCCATTTTGATTCGGATTCGCCAGATCCGGATTGGGTATCATCAGAGGTGTGTTAGATCTGTTAATAAAATGGGATCCAACGTGTTGCTACTATATTGAAATTTTTATTGTTGTAAATATATTAAAATATCACATAATTTAATATATTACATTGCTAGGTTATTTAATAAAATTTTCTTATTATATAGATTATATTGTTTTCATGTTTAGTACAAATTGTGATTTCAGATTAATGTATTTATAACTTTTATAAACATCAGCAAATAACTTACTGTTAATTTGTTATTGTATAGAATAATGAAACAAGTTCTCAGTATTTCTATTTTTTTATGTATATAAAAAAATCATGATGCAATTACTACTGTAGTCATTTTTTAAATATGTTTTTGGGCCAAAACTTGCCGATTCGGCTGATTCTCTGATCCGACACACGTATCCATCGGTCTGACATAGTTTTTGGGGTGGACAATCCGAGTTGCCAACCCTTTTTCTTTAAATTTGGTAACGATCATATTTGTATGCCGAACTTTTTCTTTCGTTATTTCTTCTTTGATATGGTGATGTTTTGTATTTCTTTCTAATAAATAACAGGGGTGAAATACTAAACAATTATTTGTTTTGAGTATAAGGAGGTCATAATCATCTTTAGCCACTGCAAAAATAATGGCTTAGGGTGTATGAAGGAGTTGGAGATATTTTTATTTGCACTTTAAGCTTGATCATTGGTACGCACTTGGCTAGCCACTTGATACTCAAATGATTACGATCTTCTTGTACTAAAAATGAATAATATTGTTGTATATTTTTCCTTAGGACCCGGTTAGCATGCGACCACCCCACATATTGTAGAAATGTAAGCTTTGCAATAAATATATTTTTAAAATATAATTTGATCCTAATTTTTAGATAATATACAAGCTTTAATATGGAGACCTTGACTATAAAAAAAAAAATTGAAAACTAGAAATAATGATTGTCCTAAAAAAACATTTGGATAGTTATTTACAATTGCTTTTAGATAGACCACCTATTTGCATCCATCTTTAGGATGGATGCTTTATACATCTGGACCGCATATTGTAGAAGCGTGGTCCATCCCACATGAAACATTTGTTCCGCATATGATGCACAGTTGCACACATCCCTCTCTTCTATAAACATTCACTCAAATGTGTCTAATGCACACGAGTTGTATATACGTGAGGTTGTCTCTTACATCTTCTTTCTCTTTCTAGAGCATGCACAATGGGATCTATTACCTCCTATCTCTCTCCGTCACTTATCTTACTAGATTTTTGTTTTTTTTTTTAATTTTGAGTCTTGTTGATAACATTTTACAACCATTCAATTTGAAATCCAACTAACAAAAATAATTATGATTTTATTTTCATCTACCTCATTATCACAACATTTTCTCTAATTATTTGGGGTCGGTTACACGAATCTTGATTCGTCAATGTGCTATAATAAATACCATACCCTTAGTGAGACCAAAAATTCATATATCTTTTCGAACTACTTTCAGCCACATCCTTTTGAGACTACTCCTTGCCCTTTTCAATCTTTCCACTTGAACTAACTCACACCTTCTAACAGGTGTTGTACTGAGTCAGCGCCACAAATGGCCAACCCACCGAAGTCTACTCTCTCTCATCCGATTGGTTCCACACCTAAATTTTGGCAAATAGATCCGTTTCAAATTTTGTCCTTCTCGTCTTGTCACTCATCCATCTCAACATCATCATCTCTGCTACACTCATTCTATGGATATATTGTTTATTGACCACCCAACATTTTGCCCCATAGAGCAAAGCTTGTCTCACAGCTATCCCATAGAAGTTGCCCTTCAACTTTGTTTGACTTCTTTGTATAAACGATAAATAGTGTAGATTGTGACTTCTTTGTATAAAAAATAAAGAGTAATTTTATATACTTTTTCTATAGAACTATGGGTTAAAATAAAGGGTATTTCAAAAAGAAAGATTACTTTTGTTTACTTAAAAGGTGGTTGCAAATAAAAGTAGTGTTGGGTGAATAGTATGGTATAAAAAATATTGGGAGGTTTCCAGACGTTTCTATATTGAAAAAAAAATTAATAAGTGTGAGGCCCTGATCAATCAAATTAAATCGCTCTTTAAAAATTCATTAGAAAAGTTTGTTTTGATTTTGAAAAACCCTCAATTCGATTATCTCAACCTCAAGATATATAGACATAAGAAAAATAGATTATAAGTCATGAAAATAGTGTATCGTGTATCACTTACTCTCTAAATTGTCAATTTTCAAGTATTTAAAGATCTGATCAATCTACATTATTGTTGAACTTTAGACCTATAATTAAAGATGAAATAAATTCAGGTTATTATAAAGATCTTGGATACATAAACGACATATTTCAGCATTGTTTGAAGCAAGGGTTTAAATAACGGATAGGTGCTTCAGATCAGGCACCACAAAAACCGATCCAGATCGGTCAATCGGCGATTCAGATTGGCAATCGTTAGAATCGGTCAGATTCTTAATTCAAAAAAACAAAAAAAATTATTAAAAATCATTATAAATGTTGTTTTTTAAGAATCCAAGAAGAAATAGGGGTACTACATTATTAACTTTCATTTTTTTGCATCAATATGTAAATATTGATACGATCTTTCCCTATATGAACTACTGTTAACGATTAAATTTACTGTAAGATTAATCCTCGAACCAGTCAAATAATAAAAGAATAGATCTTTCTCAAAAAATAAAAATAAATAAACAAATAGATGCAAATATAATTCAGGACAGTATCATATAAGACACAACTTTTAGATAGGTCCCAAGAATTACTTAATCGGTAGAATGGAGTTTCATGCATTCACTTTTAGTTATGCTCCAAATTTTCAAACAAGTATGACTTCCAAGCTCTTCTGATACGTAGAAATAATATTCCCTGAAAGATGTATATGGAACTTGTACAATAACTCTCCCTGAAATTCCTTACATCCTCTCTTTAGGCCAAACCCATCTCAACAAGGCGATACTTGCTACCACAGTACCATGTACTGATCTTGCACTATCCAAATCGACAAAAGGCATCACGCATGTTTAAATGACAAATAATTCTTCAAAATTGTAGATCTCACAAAATTAAGTATTTAATGAAACTCATATAATGACAAACTTTAAGTGTTTCTATCTAATGTTAATCATGACAAACTTTGGGTGTTTCCATCTGATGATAACCATGTTTCTTGTCTGCAAACACACCACAAAGAAATATAGGAGAAAATTCAAATCAAACTGCCAACATTAGATATTGAATCCAGAAAATGATGACAAACTTCAAACCACCTATTATTTCATGTGAGCCAATTCCAAAAAATTAAGCATATTCTATTGTTGGAACGCAAGGAGAGAAATATCTTCAACATAATTCAAATTTATTAGTCCACAAATTTCATCGCAAGGCTTATGATCAAGTAGGTGCTATGAGATTATCAATAAAAAAAATAATTAAAAAGAGACAAAATCAATAACTCAAAAGATATAAAATTCAAAAGCACCAAACCAAATAATTCCAAAATGTTACACGTAAAGCAAGGGAAAACTAATAAATTATCAAATATAAAACAATCAGGAACTACATCGTCCATGTATGACCTAGAACTTAACTGTATACCAAGGTTTGATCTAAACAATAGGAAACCAAACCATAGCCACCAACAGAAGTCAAACATGGGGAAAGCGATTCACAAAAGGAAAAAACCCAAAAAAAGAATTCAATTGCTCCAATAAATAAGGATACATCTAAGAACCACAACAAAACAATACGAGGAAATAGAAATTGTTCCTTTCACTAAATGAAGAGGCAAATAACAAGCTACAAACCAAAACAAAGGATAATAAAAATCTCAAAAGAGGAACAAAGGAGAAAGGTTAAGTGCAGATAGAAGAGGCGGCCAACCTTAGGTCATAGAAACACTATTGAGAAAACCCTAGACCCTAAAAAAGCAAAACATAAATCTCGCTAAAAAAAATCGAAAAAAAGCACAAAACAATAAAATATGTTACCTGATTTTGATGAAAATCCATTATTACCACGGTCATTCAGCAAAAGCATTGGATCAAATTGTTGAAGAATAGCCACCAAAATCACGATTCGAAAAACCCTAATCCGCTCAAATAAAACCTAAATTTCAGTCAAACAATTCACAATAATGCATTGTTTTGGCTTCGATTCAACCCCAATCGATATTTTCCCTCCATTATTGATAAAAAAAAAAACATATATTTATAGATCCAGCTTATTTTTGGGTGGAATATGGGTAATGCATGGGATTTACTGTAGAAGGCCCATTTTAACTATAGCGACCAGTCGTTTTACTATTCAAAAATGACATTTCGGCTCTAAACATGGCGTTTTCCTAGGTTTTGCGAGAATCAACATGGGATGACCGATTCCCGAGTTGATTCGAGAGATTCCGTATCAAATCGTCATTTTTTAAAACACTGCTTCATCCCACTTGGATGGACCCGCACATATTGTATTGCAAAACTCTAATTTATGCATGCAAAAGGGAGAAACATAAGGAGAAAAAACAACAAGCTCATAAGGAAAATATACCACAGTCAAAGAAACGTTGCATACGTTATTCAAATGCTGCAAACACCAACAGTTCCTATCGATATTCGAATGATACAAACACCAGCAGGTCCTATCGACAAACAGCTGAAGACTGACGTATAGTTGTACCCACAAAGACATTTCATCATATTGGTGGAAAGGGAAGGTGAGCGTTGCCTTGGAAACATATACCATACTCCATTAGACAGATTAAATATAGGAAAAATATAAAAAGAGACCATCTATTTTTGGTACAAGGAAATCACAATGACTCTTCTCTACAAGATTTAAAATTAGGTGGCTATAAAAGTGTCATTGACCAGACTCAAAGTTCAATAAAAAACTTTCTCGGACTTTGTAATACATTTTGAACCATTCAATATGACATCTAATGCCTAGGAATAATTATGACCTCCTTGTAACAAATATAAATGGTCTCATAGTATACAATCCCTTAAATATACTTAAACCCACCCAAAATAACCTTGTTTGATCTTTCCTTTTAGATGCTTCCACTTGACAATTGGGAAGTATCATAACTCCTCTCCAATAATGCCTGCAATAAAATGAATTAGATGATTAGAGAATACATATTACATTTGGTAAGGCAAGTGGATGACAATTCAGTGGTTTCCCACCATTAGCTCCCACAAACATATGGATGGAGATTAATACCCATTGCTACGTGATTGAATGTCTTTGGGCCTAATCCAAATTAATCCATCCATTCATGCGGACTGTCAGAGGAGAAAGTCATGGAGAACCATATAACGGAGTCCATTTGATACATAAACTTTCACATATTTAATAATCTCTAGCACCATGGAAAATCCCATTTTATCCGTGTCATCAACTTAGGAATACTAGAAATGGCTTGCAACATCAGTTATGAACCCGTCCTTCATGAGTTCCCTCATTTTCCCTCTTACTAATGATCATTTGTCTAATACAAAAAGCAGGAAGTAACCCACAATGAAATGTTGCCATGGTGAAGTCTCTTTCCTTTTGAAATAAAATAAGGGGTTACTGCTCATTAAGCATCAATAAAATACAAAGTGCCCCCTCATCAGCATTTTCGAAGCCTCGTATTGGTCCAAGTCCAAATTTTGTCCGATTTCTATAGGTTCTCACCGTTTTTTCTGTTTTTCACTTGTAGTAGAAAAAAAATCATGGAGTACATTTT